TCAAGTATAAACGACGTACAGGGTAACTATTCATTAAAGTCCTTTTTATTATAAATTGAAGGATGAAGGATTTCTTGGGCTGCCCATTTGGCAACAACGTCCACACTCGTATCGGTTAGAGTTTAGCAAAGGGCCGAGGATAGTAAAAAAATACGAAGTGCATTAAACATAAGTATGTGAAACTGGAACTAAAACTGTATAGACATTAGAAAAAGTTGTAAATTATAAGGTTCAGGCTGTATTTTATTAATCGTATTATATCTGTGCCACCATGTACCTTCAACACACTTCTCCGACATAAATATCAAAAGAAATATTTGCAGTTAACCTGTTCGGCGACTCTGTGACTCTGCTAAAGATGTCAAAGTAGCAGTTTATGATATTAAAAACAAAATATTTTCAAAATTTTTCTTTGCGTATATCGACAGCACGAAATTATTGATGTTTCTATTTGGTGCTGTACTAAGCGGTTATCGTTTTAGTAGATAGAACATTGCTAGCTTAATTAAAAACTAACAGTTTTCTAATTTTTAATCAAGGTAATTGGGGCGTAAAATTTAATTTTGCAGCACCAAATTAGCACTAAATTTTTAGCAAAAGTTTTAGTGATTTTGCCCAATTGATCATTCCAGCTTCCAGACGTCTATATCGTGGTTGTAGCACGAATGGGTCGGCTCGACCGGGGAAGGACCATGCTCTCCCAGAATACCAGCTAAAATAGCAGCTTAATGCTGCTGCGTTTCGATTGGTGAGTGTTGAGAACCGGAGACTATTTTAGCTGGAAGAGAGGTATTCCATGACAGTTACTATATAGTATATATATATATATATATATATATATATATGAAGTTCTCTTAGACAGCCTTAGTTCTCTTAGAGAGACCAGAATTCACTGGTTCCCGAAGGAGCTGGAACTAGCTTTCGCCAATTCTGCCGATCTGCTTTGACGTTGTCTTGGCAACAACGGGTAGGTGTACCAAGTTAAAATTAATACTAAAAACTACTACGGTCCCTTGGGGGTTGGGGTTACAAAATTCTAGCTTTTACACTCATCAAAACCTATTGGGTACCTGTTGACATATAACCACGACATTTGGTTTGGCAAGAAGCAGTTTCACAAACACAAGCAAAGGACAAAATCCGAAAATTGTTAGGTTATAGTTAAATCACGTAAACAAATTGTTTTTTGCGGTTACGAATTTACAATTACAGATGGAGCATCAACCATAATGTAGATTTACAGAACATTATTTTCTATTGGAAATTTAAGTTTTATTTTTTTCACGGCCACTTATCTTATTAGCAAACTTCAAATCAGGAAGAGGTTCTGGTTCTGCAAGAGATTTTGAGTCTACTCTTACATGACATTTTTAATGAATACTAGCTGGTACCCGGCGCACAGTGGGCGGAGACGATCAAAACTACGCGCGAGGCAGTAAATCTAATCCAAATGAAATATTTTTTTAAATACTCGTAGTTATGTCTGCTTTCTTGTAGCACTGCGGAAATCCACTTTTTAGGCGTAGAAACCACCCCTATCAACCCCTAAGCAGGCTCAACCACCAAATTATTGGGAAATAAAATAAAATTACTTATAAAAAAGCAGTAGTAGATTAAACTCACTTCATCCAGAGCTAGATGTGTTAGTCTGTAAGGTAGGCTAGACTCTGTTCCCCCGGATTGAGAGTGTGGCGGGTGCTATGCACAGACGCTATGCACAGACTGCTGCCCAATCCCGGGGGACCGAGGGAGGAATTAGCTGCCTCTATGCGGGGGTAGTACGGTCCGTAGCCTTATACGGGGCACCTGTATGGGCGAAAAGGCTAGCTTCGGTGATTATCTGTGTAAGATCGGACGCGAAGCGACGCCGTACTGCTTCCATTGCGGTGGACAGGATCAGGACTCCGCGTCCCATACGCTGGCGGTATGTCCAGCGTGGGAACGGGAAGCGAATGATGATGGCAAACCGGGTCGATCGGGACCTCTCCCTGCCAGCAGTCGTGTCGGCGATGTTGAGCGGGGACTCGGCGTGGAGGGCCGTAACCACCTTCTGTGAATCCGTAATGGTCCAGAAGGAGGCTGCTGAGCGGGATCGGAGGAGGACAGATCCCACTCGGAGACGACGTCATCAAGGCGTTCGTCACGGCCCTCCCTTTGAAGATGGTGTTCCCCTACCTGAAACAGGGCCTCTGGGGTTGCAGGCGTTTGGATCGGGGGCCTCAAATGCCTAGTAACGTAACCCCAGAGGAGGACGATGGCTCGGAAGTGGTCCAGGGACATCGTGATAGCACTGCGAGGGTGCTGGGGGTAGTAATTTCTGCCTCTGGGACGTGCTTCCAATAAAGCGAAGCGAGAGAGGGGCCCCGGTTGCGTTCCGAACGGAGATTCCGGGACCCCTCGAACACGCTGATTGAGATTATTGTGGGGTTTTAGCCGGTAGGAGTCCGGCATAACCTTCCGGTTGCCCCCGCAGCCGGAGGTATCCATGAGAATTTCCCCACGAAAAAAAAAGGCTAGACTCTCTGTGGATAAAATATTAATTTCCTTAAAAGTAGTTGATTAAATTCGCTCTACCCAGAGCTAGGTGTGTTAGCCTGCTTGGGGGTTGTTAGGGGTAGTTTACGAGGTTGTAAGGGTATGTAGGAATGAGATGTATCGGGGTTGAGGTAGGCTAGCCTATCTGTGTATAAAATATATATTTCCTTATAAATATGTAGTTGATCGAAATCGTTTTACCCAGAATCTGGTGGTTTAGCCTGCTTAGGGGTTGATAGGGGTGGTTTCTACCCCTAACAAGTGAATTTCCGCAGTGCTACAAGAAAACAGACATAATTACGAGTATTTAAAAAAAATATTTCACTTTTCTCCCACTGCGCGGGGCGCGTTGCAGCCGCAGAAGAAATAATTATAGAAATATCGTTTTAAATTTGGAAGAGCTACCTATATTGTTTAATAAGAAATGATAATACATCATTAAAATTGAGTGACATATTATATAACTTTAAATTAACTGCACGATACGCGCGCCACCTACTGTAAGTTAATTGTGCCTATAATTACTAATTTGCGAATGCGAAAGTGCGAGCAAAAAGTTGACAATTTTACCGCAATCTGATGAACGGTATGGCGGCGCATAAAATACGAACAAACAAACATTATATGTTATATAACATTAGATATTTTAAATAACAGATTATCCAATTATATAATGGCTTCGATCATTTTTATGTAGGTAGGTCACGCTATAATATATGTTCGTCAATAATGAACCGATTTTAATAATTACTTCATTGATACTAATAATTACATCATTGTGATTGATCATTTAGTGGCGGTATAAGAATATTCATATCATTCCGTGGGTATCGTAAGAGGCGGCAGAGTGCGGTTGCCTACGCGCCTGCCTAGCGTACTTAGTAATATGGCAAATATCCCACCTATGAGGTAATCTTTAGGAAAGGCTTATGTTAAGCAGTGGACTTTTGATAGGCTCCTAACATTAACTTCAGGGTTGGTCCCGTATAAATTTGGGAATAAATTTCGATATGCGAAAATAGGGGGTGAAGAGTTTACTTATTCTAGTGGCTACCTTTAACTTGTAATATGCCTAAGCCCGCTCAAAATGTTCCAAAGCGTGAAAGTAGAATGGTGCGAATCCTACTTGCAACATTCGTTATTTGTTTTCTACCATTTTAAAAGAAAAAGGAATATACAAGTAAAAGTGAGAAAAAACAACAAATTACCTTGTACAATATGTTATTTTACGGCCAGTCAGTTAATTCTAGTTCATCACCTTGAGTTATAGACTTTCACCTGCCTCTACGTCAGTATGCAATGTCTGCTACTGTGTCCCACAGTTAATTATTTAAACAAGAATCATGCCAACATGTATGCTTTACGTAGCTGTTACTTTTATGGTATAAAAAAATAGATACCTAAGTAGACTTTTTGTAGGATTTGTTGTAATCGTCACGCTCAGCAGACTGGCCATATTTACGTAGGTAGGTACTTTAGTATCTGTTTGGAATATGTATGAATATGAAATAAATAAATGATGTTAGGTCCAATCTAAAACCAATATTTGCATAGCATTGTGTAATTTCTATTTCTTTCAAACTTAGGCGTATCGTTCAGTCACAGTGTTTCTAAATATTTTTTTAACCTGATTATTCATTGATTCTGTTGGCATTGCCTATAGGTCTTACGCTAAAGTGCTTGTCAGTATACTTCCGCGTATACACTGAAATAGTTTGAAATAAGTAGGTCAATGACGTAAGGTCATTAATATTTGAAATAGTTGTTCCATCTATCTGAAGGTGAGAGATTTTTTAGCCTTTTCCATAAACGATTCTTATAAAAAATAGGGATTAGTTGGATGGGGAACCAAATCTGTTTACTTGAAATATTAAAAAAGATTTAGATTTATATATATTAAATCTAAAGTTTAAATAGGTGCTACGTGACATTAACTGTTGATTGCTTACATTAAAGCAACAATGGATTTGCAGGTTGAATCGATATTGAGTTTGTAGCTTTGTAGCCAAGGTTACTTCGTGATTTTCTCCTTCACAACCAAGCACTTGATGGAAAATCAGCGCTTAGTCGAAATTTACAATTTTATTGCTCATGGGTTTCAAACTTAGCTAGGTCAAATAAGCGGAGTTTTACCATTTCTTATTAGTAAACTACATATAATAAGAGAAATAAGTTTATGTAAGTTATTAAATGTAATATGTAGGACGCACACGGTACATTTATCACGTACAAAAAGGTTAATTATTGCTTTACAAAATTAATTCGAACCAAGCAGAGTAAAAAAAAAAACAATTGTTTGATCGGCACTTTCAAACGACTGTCACAACTCACAAGGGGCATTCAATCATAAACCACGATATCTAATCAACGATCGTTTGCCTTAATCAGTTGGACGCTGACCGCTCGAAATATCGCACGACTCTGCTCTTTCTACACCAGGCGAACTGCGGCACATTAGCAATCCTATGGATAACTATGAAATAGTTGATTTCAAATCTTTGAGTAAGTATTCACCTAGTTTATTTTTATTTTAACCTTGATTATTTATTATAAAATGTTTATATAGGGATATCTTGTCCTTCTCCTTTCTAAATTCATTCAGATCTCGCAAAATGCAACGATGTTGAGTAAATCTATTTTCGCACTTAGTAATACGCAACGACCGTCGCGAATGTACGCTGTTGTAAATAAAAACCAGCAGAATAAAAATCAAATTAAGTAAAATGTAAAATAAGAAACCAATTTTTGTTCAATTGATTTTGATTTTCGCCGATGTAAATAAATACTAGCACAATAAAAATGAAATTAGGTGAATAAGAAAACCATTTTCCTTAAATTGATAGATAAATTACAGACACTAAAGTTGGTAAAAATTACCTTGCGTCCATCCGCTCATTAAAAAAAATTATGTGTCTTACCTAGTTTGAAGAGCACCTCCCGCCCTCCCTCAATTGCGTGCACTATCTCCGTCAACACTAATCCCAGCACCACTACTCCCAACACCACTACACTAGGAAAGACACACCACTTACGACAATACGACACGTGTTTCGCCTCTACACGAGGCATCTTCAGGTGATATAGACTCTGCGATGGCTGACCGTTTGGCTTTTTGGTTGTTTTGGCTCGCCGCTCACTTAGCGGTCAGCCATCGCAGAAATTACAGACAATCATTTTTTATCTTGCATATCCGAAGCCGAAGTCAACAATAAACTGGTTAATCAAGATAATATATCAAAAAATACTTACCTACGTAATATTTTTATGCAACGAATGCATTATAGTTTATCGCTTATGTTTCAGATGACACCGTACAAAACTTAGTACGGCAAGCAGTTCAAGTGCGGAAAAATGCATACTGTCCGTACTCAAATTTTGCTGTTGGGGCAGCCATCCTCACGCAGGATGACTCAAAAGTATACACAGGTTGTAACATTGAAAATGCGGCGTTAACGCCATGCATCTGCGCAGAACGCGCGGCAATTCCTAAAGCTGTATGTGACGGATACTTGAAATTCAAAATGATAGCAATCGTAGCCCATCAACAAGAAAGTTTCACAGCCCCATGTGGTGTGTGTAGACAGACCCTAACTGAGTTCTGTGGCTCTGACGGTGATATTGAAATTTATTTAAGCAAACCTGCTATGGATAAGGTTTTATGCACAAAGTTATCGCAGTTATTACCCCTGGCATTCAGGAGCTTCAAAGACAGTGTGGCTAAATGAGACTAATAAAAATGTAATATTTACTTGAAACGACGATCGAGTGGTGTAAGGAAAAGCTATGATTAGTGAAAATAATGCTGGAACAGATGTTATATTTATTTGTATTTGAAAATGACATTATCTTTTGTAAGTATTAAATAATTACTACATATAATAACTTTATAACACAAGTTTGTGACTCAAACTGTTTTATCCTTCCTGATGTGTAATGAATGATAGTATGAAGGTTCAATACACTCGATAGTAATTATTTAATATCATGATAAATATATGAAAAGCCACACACATCGCTGTTTTTACAAACGTATGCCTAAAGTGACCATACGGCCCGTTTTGAACGGCACTGTCCTTTTTCTCGGTCACCTGTCCCGTTGTCCACAAACAAAGCTCCGGGACGCAAAATAGTCCCGTTTTCAGAAATAACGCAAAAATTTTAAACGATGAAGTTCATCAGACACGAACGGTGCGAGAGCAAGACTGGCCAAAAATAACCGAATGGGATAATTTAAGTTTCCGCAGAAACCCGTTGGGGTAGTTAACAATCTTCAACATATTATTTTTGCATTTTAATCGAATGTATGTTATGTCTCTTTGGTACAAAAGCTCCAGTAGAAAGAGTATTTTTCTATAATAATATATAAATTGTGTAAATAAATTGTGGATGTCTGAAAAAATATCACTTACAGGTTCCAGTTCTAAGGGCGATGTCGATAACAAAGGTCAATATAAAAAAAACATGCCCAGAATTTTATTCTTATTTAAAATCATCACCAACTTTATTAATGCAAATTTGTTCCATTGACAAATATAAATATAATTAATAAAATATGTTGCATTTAATAATTACTTTCTGACGAACTTTGCTTTAATGAAGCTGGTGAACTGGTGCTTGATTTTTATTTTTCACAATTTGTTATAATAAAAATAATTATAATTAATGTGAATATAATTATAGCGAACACTAATTGTATAAAGTTACAGTTTTTAGAGTATAAATAAATCCACGTCCCGTTTTGAGTTAAAAAATAAATGGTCAGTTTACGAATGCCACAAAACGAAAAATACTATGAACCAAATAGTTTTTGGGGTTACATTTTTTTGCCCTTACAGTTGTTATTATTTACGTGAGACAAAATTTATACTAGATCCAGAATTGTTTGTCATGTTGAAATATCTGTAAAGTAAATTAGTTTAATAATTTCTTAGTGTGTTTATTTTATGTTCATGGCATAATAACTTATAAATTTTATCCATTTCGTTAGGATGATCTCTTAGGAATGGAAACAATATTAGTTATTGTTTGTGTGGGGAAGTTCTGTTATCATAAAGGAGTTGAATGTTATATGATTGAATATAGATATTTTATTCTTATGACCGGAATTGAAACTTTCGCATGACATATTTAATGTATTCATAGCGTTTAATCGCTACAAGTTATCATGACATGGTAACAGTAGCAGTATCAGACTTATAAGGGAGTGGTATTCAAAAAAGATTAAAAAACTTTTCTATTTTGAAAATAATACAATCTCAAATCATTCACATACCAAATCCGTACAAAGATGGTCATAGTTGACTATCTATCTATATATATATATATAGAATAGAATAATTTTTATTCAATATACATTACATGTGTAATTCTTATTGAAAGTCATTTTTTACTTTATCACTGGTTCGAAAAAAACCCTTTGTCCTGGGAAGAACCAGCAAGTAACCCAGCGGGACTTTTTTTTTTAAATAAATTTTACAATATAAATGATTACGAACTATTTACAAAATTTATTTTAGAAACTGCTTGGAAGCGACCACCTCATTCCCAGGGGTTATTAACAACCATGTAATATAATATAATATAATATATATATATATATATATATATATATATATATATATATATATATATATATAATTTTACTATATGTATATTATATTACCGTAAGAACCTTCCCGTAAACCACAACTACACTAAACTATCCTAAGAGTCGCCCGCGTAAACCAAGAGTGTGACGAATGACTACAATAACTACCAACTAAAAAATAAGTGATAGTATCTTACCTGCCTATCCCGCAAAGGAAAAAGCAAAGCTATAGTAGCAGCTAGCTAGTTTTAAGTCATTTTCTATAGAGTTGTAACGAAAGTTTTACTAATGCGAGTGCATTTTATAAGTTGGTCGACTATTACTCGTTCATTTAATTAACACACACGTTAATTCTACTTAGCTATGGTAGTTTTCCTTTTAACTTCATTATATATACTATTCCCGTGGATACTTTTCACATTTCTCTCAAATGAAAAATATCACTTTAAACCTAAGTATTTCGCAAACGGACCCCTGGATCGAAAAAATGTTGTTCCATACCAGAGTTTTTGAGTCTTATCCACTCATCCATCCAATCCATCGTGTGAGATATACACGATGGAATAAACGGGTATCCTCCATTTACTTGTATGGGAAGTTTAAATGTTTTTCAAGATTTTATTTCACAGTTTTCTATGCGTTATTAATATCTATAACTACGCCAAATTACAGATTTGTATCACCTAGGGTCTCTGAGCAAAACCGCAGACAGACGGACGGACGGACATGGCGAAACTATAAGGGTCCCTTGTTGTGTAACTACGGAACCCTGATGAATATCAAGTGGAATTATTTTTAATTTTCCAATCGCTTTTAACTAAAACTTCTGTGCTTAAACTCATTTTATAGATAGTGAGTCACCACGCAGGCTCTGCAATACGGACGATGTTTTGTCCGATCATCTCATAAATAAGCAAATAATATAAACGAGGTTAAAAAAGAGATTGGTACTTACGTATTTTCTTCGTAAAACGAAGTCTTAACTCCATTCTTGGCCATTCCTGGTTTAGTTCTCTGTCTGTTCGTAAAGTGAAGAAGAAGACAACAAGAAAATTTTCAAAAAAAGCTTGTTTATGTTTAATAGCATGTAAATAACCCTGAGCTCAATAGATGGTAATTATTACCATCTATTGAGCTCTGGTTACAGACACACAGGCTTTTGATGTTACAGACATACACTTCAAGTTAACTGTTCTGTTCTGTTTATATGTACAGATAGGTTTGACGACTCCGTGGCGCACAGGCTTAGCAATGAGTTGTTGCGCTGGGGGCCGCGGGTTCGTATCCCGCGCGGAACACGTATTTGTATGGTCTACAAATAATTGGATTGGATTAAAATTTCCGGGTCTGGATGTATGTCCTCGTGAAATTTATGTTTGTAAACTGCCTCCACTACACAGGAGAAAATCCTAGTGTGGAGATAACGTTTTTTTTAAAAAAAAGTAAATAATAAATGATAGGTATATAATTATTTTTGTTTCAACGACTGCGTTGTCTAGTCAATGAATACCTGTCTTATTGCGCTCGCTACGGTCCTGGATTTAAATCCCGCCAGAGCCTACATTTGTGAAAAAAAAAAACTGTTGTTTGTTGGGTCTGTTTGTTCTGTGATAGCAGCCGTGTCTGTAATGCTGCACTGATATAGTTACATTGGGTATGAGTGAGGGACACCTTGACTTACATTAGTAAGTGCATATCTCCATTTGTGCGCACTTACGGCACAACAATATCTTCTGCGCTTGTTTATTTACAACTTCCGGTTATTTAAAGATCGGCAAGAAACAAATCAATTTTTTCATTACTTGTCATGAAAAACCATAGTATTAAAAAAACTAGATCAAACCACTTTTATCTAAGGATTTAAGAATGGCGAGGTGGCCATTTAAAAAAAAGTAAATTTCTCCATTATAAATTTTATTTTATGATAAATTAGTAATATACAGGTAAGTTGACACAGAGCTGTTGCCTTACAGAATAAAATCAAATAAACATTTAAAATATTCTCAGCGGTAAAGGAAATACTTGGGCATAAAAAAAGCCGTGTTTTTGCCGTGCCGGTAGCCGTGTAAGAATATCTAATACTCCATTTCGGTGTTGTAATAGGCGACTTTGGGAAACGACTGAAAAATATTATAATCTCGTTAAAACCAGGCGTAAAATACACAAACCGGCGACGGGAAGCACCGTCAAGATGCGAGAGGTCTGGTACCGCTAATGCCAACCCGCCTGCCAAGCGTAAGGATTAAGGCCAATCCTTTCTAACATGAGAAGTCTATATCTGGCAGGGGGATTTTTAGGAGCTGATCATGAAGAAGCCTATAGTTTTAATATTACAACCTCCAACGGAATATGTTAAGAAATGTCAATGAGAAGTTTCACGAAAATTGCCGCATATTACACAAGATGTCTTTAGATTATCGATGTCAGAGTTTTTTTTAGCAAGACAATACCGCGTCTAAATTGGCCTTAAATACGAATGTGGACCTCTTTTAAGAATTATATTATGTCTATTTACAAAATATGTACCTATATACAGCACTTCGACTGGTTAAATCGACACATGAGTCAAGTCAATAATACCACATTTGTAATATTTTTCGGGAAAAAGTTTCAGCGGAGTTTAGTATGTAGTAAATGCATGATAAAATTGGACTGGACTATCACAGTCGCCTCTCACGTCAATTCGTGTTTTATATTAATAAATATCGTGGAATATTTAAATTACATTATATTTTTAGATAAATTAGAAAAAAGAAAACTCAATGGCTAAGATTCACTTCATATTATCTATAATAAATGCTTAGTGTTCGATAAATACTTTGGTTTTTTTAAGACTTATTCTCGAGATTTATGTGATTCTTAATCACAAAAAAAAAACCTAATCAATTCATTAACTCCATTATCAATTAGTAATTTATAAATTTAATCCGAAATCTGGACAGATCAATGAAGAAGGGCAACGGTGTGGAAAGTTTGATTCGATATTCAAAATTATCATATGTCCAAGCTTTTAAAAGGTTCTAAAATTACAAAAACTAAACGAATATGTCGACGTGTGTCAATTTTCAGTATCACAAATTACCAAAACGGACACCACCCAATATAGCATTGACACAAATTCTCATTGTTAGTTGCAAT